GCGTGTTTTTACATGAGTAGAATGTGTCCTTTTATTTAAAATGCATTTCTGGGTTATTTGTGGGGCATAGGAATTTGTTCATTTCCCCCACAAAATATAGTCCAGCCCACCACATGGTCTGAGGGACGGTGGACCGGCCCACAGCTGAAATAGGTTGCTGACCCTTGGCTTAAACGCTGCAAGCATAATGAAGTGCAGTTGCATTGAAAATGTGGATAACTTTTATTTGCCTCCCCACCCCCCCAATTTGATTTTTCTAATATTGCACAAAACTAGACAATTAGAATTTGCTGGCAATTTTGAGCATAAATAAGTTTGTTAACAGATTCCAGACCATTACAAACCCATTTGTTTTACACAAGAAACTGTGGCAATTTACATTTTGTTGTAACCTCCATGTATCTTGCTATTGTTCGATTTAAAATTAGTTCCTGATCATCGTGGTAGGTGTATGTTTTGTACAGCCTAATAACCTTATCCTGCTCTCCTTACTGGAAAAACAGGCTAGTCTCAGAAGCAATAGGCAGAGCATACCCATCATGACTAGTAGCCATTGACAGCCTTGTCCTCCAATAATTTGTCCAACCTTTTTTAAAAAACCATCAAGTTTGGTGGCCATCCCTGCCACCCGTGGGAGTGAGTTCCATAGTTTAACTATGTGCTGCATGAAAAAATACTTTCATTTATCAGTCCTGAATCGTGTTTTGCCTGTGCAACAGCTTGTACACTCCCCCCCCTTTTGCAGAAGTAGATGCACAATAACTGCTCTGAGTGAATGCTCAAGCATTTTCAGAACAGCAACTGTAGCTACTTACCTTTTGCTCATGGATATTTGGATCTGACCATTTGTATACACTTAGGCTTCGCATAGTAATACCATGGTTGTTGTTTTTTATTTCTTATCTCTATGCTTTTATTTAGAAAAAAAGCCCTGTGACATATGTGCCTACACACATGTGTGTCATTAGGACACTAAGAATATATTGCAGGGGTGGCTAACTTGCAACCTTCCAGTTAGCTCCCATAATCTCTGCCCATTGACTTTGCTGTCTGGGGTTGATAGGAGCTGGCATATAACAAGTGGTACCTCAGTTTTCGAACATAATCCGTTTCAGAAGACCGTTCGACTTCAGAAACATTCGAAAACCAAAGCTTGCATTTCCAGAAGCATTTACATTCAGAAAACTCAATACGGAAGCTGTGTGGCACATTCGGCTTCCAAAAAACATTCAAAATCCGAAGCAATTACTTCCAGGTTTTTGGCGTTTGAAAGCCGAAACGTTTGACTTCCGAGATGTCTGAAAACCGAGGTATCACTGTATCTGCAAAGTCACTTGTTCTTCATCCTTGGGGCAAATATACCTTTAGCTATGAAGCTTTTTCTACGTGTTTTAATTGTTTTTATATAGATGGTTTATATTTTATTTGCAGGTGTTTTCTATTCTGAAATCACTTTGAGATATATTATGGGACCTGATTCATAAATGGAATAAAATAAATACTACAAAATGAAATGAGGATAACATCATCCATCTGATGCAGTGGGTTCTAGAACACAGACACTTATTCCACATCAGTCTCCAAAATTGCCACAGGACTCCTTGTTGCTCCTAAACACATTCAAATTCTTGAAAGGCAACATGTAACCTGCTATTTGCTGCTGCTTTCCTGATAGTAATTTCCACCAATATTCTCCAAAACTGATTTACTTTTGGACAGAATCACTAACAGTGAATAAAATCAGTGGGCTGAGCTCCTCTGCTTAAATCATGATACATTTTGGCCAGCCTCGATGCCATTATCCATCCGCATTGTAGTTTATAAAAATTTGATGTGACAGAGAAATATTAGTACATATACGCCCATATTTTGTCTCATAGTTCAATACTAATATCATCGGTTCATTTGATCTCATTCTTCTCTGATGCTGATTGAGTGTACATAATAACAATTATAAATCTTCCGGAGAAAACCACATATTATATGCAAATGTGAGCAATGAAGCCTTAATCTTAAAGCTCCTTTATCTTTAAATAGTGGGACTTGGGGGTGGGCAAGCAGTGACTCTGTTAAGCCCAAACCATGGGGGGAAACCCCACTGCCCCCAGAGATACTGGAAGGTATCAGCCCCCATAGGGACCTTCAATGTCCAGTGCTTCCCCCCTCCCCACGCCAGTGAAAAGCAATCCTAGGGGTGACCAAAACCACTTCAATGACCCAGCAGGTGTCATATAGCCGAATTGTCATCCTCCTCTACCCTCAAGGACCTTCAAACCGAGCCACAGCCACTAATCATGCTTGAGGATAGAATGTTCCAATGCTCCTGCTACTGACCCCGTCTGCTCAGGCTAACTCACAACAAATGTTGTGGTGTCCCATTAAACCAAAGCCATTTCCAAAGCCATTACTTGAGGAAACAGGTAAAGTGTGTTGGCAGCCAGTCTTGGTAAAGAGAGCCACCATCAGGTCCATCTTAGCCGTTGGCAGTAGGGGTGCACTTTGCTGTCTGGGGTTGATAGGAGCTGACACCTGGGCGCCAGGCTCTCGGGGCGCCAGGCTGAGAGTCCGGGGCCGAGCGTTGGAGTCCAAGGAAGAGCTGCTGACAGCCGAGTGGAGCAGTGCCTGTCAGAGTGCAATGGGCTCTTCTGCTGTGGGCGGCTCTTCCCCGGACTCCAACGCTCGCCCCCAAACTCGCACCAAGCTGCCCGCAGCAGAAGAGCCTGTGGCGCTTTAACGGGCTCTGCTCCACTCAGCTGTCGGCTCTTGCCCCAGCTGCATGGCGGCTATTTCGGCGATGCGCCCAGAGCACCATGTAACGTTGTGGGCGCTGCGCAACACATCCTGTTGCATGTGCTGAGCTGCGGATTCCTTTGCTGGCTTTTCCGCTGTCAGCTCACGCTCCCAGCACCACCCAATGTGGGGTGCCAGCTCAGAACAATGGGGAATGCAAACGGCAGCAGAGGAAACATATCCAGACAGGATCTGCCACACTCTGATGGCAGTAACAAAACCCGAAGAATAGGAGTGCACAGATCCCATCCAGAGATCTTTCTTCCACTGCCACTTGCATTCCCCATCGTTCCGCGCTGGCACTCCACATTGGGTGGCGCTGGGAGTGTGCGCCGACAGCAGAAAAGCCAGCAAAGGAACCCTCAGCTTGGCACACGCAACAGGATGTGTCGCACAGCACCCACAACGTTACATGATGCTCTGGGTGCTGCGCACGCAGCTGAAACAGTTAACCACCATGCAGCAGGGGGTGGAGGCAGCGGGCACACAGTGCTGCGACTGTGCTGCCCGACATTTTGTTCTCCCCCAGCATGAAACCCACTTTTGTACGCCCCTGGGGGGGGGCGCTGGCAACCCCGCTGCTTGGCGCTGTGAGTCTCTGCGTCCCACAACTGTTCTAAAGGTAAACAACTATTTCCTTTGGGCAATCTAGGGGCGCCGGGTGAATCTTTGCACCCCGGTGTCGCATATACTTAAGATGGCCCTGGCAACCATGCTTCCCCTCCCCAATACCTCATTGGGTGCATGAGATGCAAGACCTCCTCAGATCTCACAGGAAGATCACCTGTCCTCCTCCTCAGCCCTGGCAGCTGTCACTCCACACAGCGAGTCAGCTGACAGCTTCAACGGTTTCATCAGGCCGTGGGCTATAGAGCTTTGAGGATAGAATGTTCATAAATGCATCCATTGCTGAAGCCACATGTTGTTGGCACTAGGCTGAGACTTGTATACATTCAGAAGCTCTCTCTCTTTGTGCTAACATCTCTATTGCAATTTGCTGAATATAGATATATAGATATATTCTCCTCTGAGTTATGGCCCTTTCCTGATGAATCTGTGTAAGAACTATTCAATTCTTTTCAAAAGTCTCCAACTATAATGCAAAATGACATCATCTAATGAAATGTGGGTGAGGGTATAGACTCAACCGAGCATTTCTTGATTATTCTGGCTTGGACCTTCACTTGTCAATCTGAATGCCCCACAAGCTATTCCCTCCAGATTCCCCTCTCTCTTTTTTCCTATTTATGTCTGGATTCCTTTATGCCATCTGCTACTGCATGCCTCTTGGTGTAATGAGAATTCAAGACAACTGCAAGCAGCAATACCTAGGTGCCATTTAGAAGGTAAACACAGTCTCTTGTGGTTAAGCAACCATGAAAACAAATGGCGTGCTTTGCCTTAAGGCTGGGACAGGCCCAAAGAAGGAAGCAGCGGGGAGTCAGGGTGGGGGGGAGCTCTTTCTGCAGCCCAGCAAATTGCTTCCATTTATTTCTCTTTAAAGGGACAAAGTAGAGCAAAGCAAAACACTGAAGCGATTCAGAGTACAAAACTAACTCGAGGGGCAGATGATGTAAATATATGAAATAGCATAATATCTCCAATCTCTAGGATCTACAGACTGCTTCTGAAACACAAAAAAGGGCAGATTACTCAAATGAGAAAGGTTTTTGCTTTCCTTTTGGACATTTGCACGGGACATAGGAAAACTCAAATTACACCATCTACTGTAGTTCAATCTGGTCTACACAAAGGGTAGGGAATGTGGTCCCCCTCTGGGGCTGGATCTAGACACATCAAAAAACGTTTCAGGAAAACACATTCTAAACCTCATAATGAGAAATCACATTGCCGAAAGATGGAACTCTACAGCGTCATCTGGTGTCACAGTGTTATAACGCATTTAAAATGCTTTTTTTTGTTTTTGAAACTAATGTAGCTGAGTCCTGGGTCTTGTTGGAGCACAGCTGCCATCGGTCCTGGCCCACATGGCAAGGGGCAGGAATGATGGGGGGTGTAATCCAACAAGGTCTGGAGAACACACTGATTCACTGGCATAGAGTGGGAGTGCTGGGGGGGGCAGTGCCCTGGGCACAGAATTGGGAGGGGCGTGCAAACCAGGTGTCAGGATGCTGTCAGTGGCTCCTGGCTGGTTGCCCAGTAAAGTATAAAGCCAAGGAAAAGTTTCTTGCAGTCTTTTTTTATTTCAGTCTTTACAGAGAGAGGCTATAGAACCCAGGCTCTTGGATAATGGCATTGTCCCTTGTGAATATCCACCTCCTGTCTCTCCCACTTCCTCGTTCATCATCATCACCTCCTCTACGGGTGCAGCTACATGCCCTCTGTCTTTGAGCTCTTTGCTCTCCTTTTAAGGCTCACCGGGTTCTGGGAGATGGAGGGTCTGGAATGCTTTCTAATGACAGCGTGTCAGCCAGCTGTTGCTCTGGCTCTGCCTGCTCCTCCTCACCCATTATTTCCCAGCTTTTCTCCACATCTGCCTCTAAGCTGTGACCTCCCACAAACCACTGTCTTCCTCTTCCTCCTCCCTGGAAGGGTCAGGATGGGGAAGTGGTCTCCACCATTCCTCCTCTACCCAGTCCCTGACACCAGGCATCCCCCACAGAAATCCACATCACATGGCTGGCTGAGTGCAGAGGGTGAAGAGCAGCACACTCTGCACCTGCCCAGGAGGCAGGGGCTGGGTGAGCGGAGAGTGAAGAGTGCCCTCTGCACCTTGCCCACCCCACCCGACACACACGCACCTGCTCATCAGGTGAGAGGGCTGGGCAAGTGGAGGATGAAGATAACCCTCTTTGCCCTGCTCCCACCCATCGTGCAAGTGCCTGCCTTGGTGGCTAGGCCAAGGCAGCATTCTTGCACCGGGTCAGGTGCAAGAATAACCCTCCATGCTCCGCCGCTGCACTGATCTACCCTGAGAGGCAGCAGTTCTCCAGGTTTCCCCAGCCCTACCTGGAAGTGCCAGAGACCGAACTGCAGGACGTTCTACGTGCACAGCAGATGTTCTGCTGCTGAGCTATTGCCCTAAGGACAAATCCACATGTTATGTCATTCTTTAAGTCAAATCTAGCCCACCTTTTCTCTTTGGAGCTGAGTTCCTGTCCCAACTCCACCCCAAATTTTAAGCTCCCTATAACCCTGTGAGGTAGGTTAGGCTGAGAGACAATGACTGGCTGATGAGCTTCTTGGCTGAGTGGAGATTTGAACATGGCCCTCTCATGCCCAGTACAACCATTGCATCAGATAGGCCAAATACCTCAGTTGGTAGAGCACAAGACTTTTGATCTCAAGGTTGTTGTTTTTGAGCCCCACACTGGATGAAAGATACCTGCATTTCAGAGGGTTGAGCTAGGTGACCCTTGTGGTCCCTTCCAATCCCATGATTCTGTGTTTTGTACCACAGTGCTGAGTATGAGAAAAAATGGGCATAAGAAAAGTTGAGAACCTCTGCCTTAAATCTTTGTTTCTAGCTGTTAGTTTTGACTAAAGGCTTACAACGGTAAATAGAGGGGGATGTGCATAACTAAAACTGACCACACACTTCTGTTACAGATAATGCAACGCACAGTATCATATTTCTTTTGAACATGGTGGTGTAGAACTCCAACGGATCAGTTTTCTATAGCTAAAAGTTACCACCTTGTCACTTGTCACTGAACTGAAGCCCAGCTGTCTTGTGTTAGATGTACATAACTAATGCTGGACAAACCACCCTAGAGAATATTAACCAGGCTAGGCTTCTGTGCAGTTTCCTTCTCTTGTCAAGCCACCTGGAATATCTGATGTTATCCCCTCTGGATCTAGCTATGATCAAAAGAGGGGGGAAAGCGAGACGTGAACTGCATTACGGGCACATGGTGAATGAAGGCAGTAGCTGAGAGAAAAGTTGAACTTATTCACCTTAAAATAGGGATAGGGAAGATATTTATTTATTTATTTATTTATTTATTTGATTTGGTTTGTTTTTAAAGGTGAACCTACCCAATTCACACAACCATCTTTCAAAATTCTCTCTTCTCCAAATTTTGCAATGCCGTTATACAGTCAAGTATAAACATATGCTAGGGTGAAGTGTGCATGAAAATGCAACACTGAATTGAACTAGGGAGAAATGGGTACAGAAACAATAATATAATATACAAATATATAATAAAATAATATACAGAAACGTGTATACCAAAAGAAATTCACATTTAACTTGCTGGTGAATTTATATGAGGACTTTAAATATATATATATTGCAAACTGATGTGGAATGAGCACCGATTTTGCAATCAGGAAACTGAGAAAAACTGAAATTTACAAATTGGCCCATCCCTACCTTCAAATCCTACTGATGGGTGCATTTTCTGCTAGAAGAACCAAGTAAACTACAAAATTATTTGACAAAAAATCAATAGCCTATTAGCTTGCATAGCCAAGGGAGAAATGGCAAGAGCTTTGCACCTGTCTCTTTGTACTCTCCTCCCAACAGAGGTAATTTTTGCTAAGCGAAATTACCCAGGCGTGTTTTGGCTCAATTAGCAACTGCATTTGTATCATTTTTGTTTCCCAACAAAGTATGTTTGACTTGTTACATTTCCCATGCCCTTTGGCAAACAGCTGCATAAGTTTTGTTCTGACACTTTATTGGAGGCAGGAACAGGGAGATGAAGAAGGACAGAGAGACAGAGAGAGATTGAACGTGTCTGCAGAACAGGCAGGGACTATCAAGTATCTCAGATCTCATGAATAAACCCAACACTGAATGAATCATCTTCATAGTGTCAGTCCCACTGCATCTCATTAAAGATCACTGAACAAAGAGCACCAAAGAAGCGTCTTTGGATCTTGTAATCATTAATAATATCAGATGTGTTTCATCTTTTCTTTTCATGACTTAACGTTGCAGAATGAAAATGGTGATGTAACATTTGACAGACCTCTAAAATAACGTTGATCTTCTGATCCAGCTCAGTACCCACCATTGCTCTGTCTTTCCTTCCTTTGTAGTAAGTGATGTGTGCATTGATACTGTTGCTCTGACAATGTCTACCACAGCTGATCCAGCAGACTCCACGGACGCTGCCAATGATACTATCTATGAGAGAGAAGCGACCCAAAGACTATCTAGAGCAGTTACTCAGTGCCCATCAACCCTAGCTGGCTTAGCCAATGGGATGATGGGAGCTGTAGTCCAACAGTGTCTGGAGACCCCAAGGTTGAAGAAGGCTGATCTAGCCCAACCACTGCTACAAAGCAAGATAATCTGTCTACCAAGCTTCTGTAACTCACTAGGTGCAACAGAGTCCCCATGGTGTGCCAGATAGAACAAGCAGGTACATGTAAACAATGGTGCTTAGAAGATGAACAGCTTAAAATGACTCAAAGGAGGATTGGTCAAATTCTTGGAAGATAAGGCTATCAATGGCTATGACCCATGAAAATCATGCTGTGTCAGAGGCAGTAAAGCTTCTGCATACTACTTGCTGGAAACTGCAGGAAGAGAGAGTACCCTTGGGCTAGGGTCCCGCTTGGGCTTCCTAGATGCATCTCGTTGTCCATTTAACTAGAGCAGGGGTAGGCAACCTAAGGCCCATGGGCCGAATGCGGCCCAATCACCTTCTAAATCCGGCCCGCAGACGGTCCGGGAATCAGCGTGTTTTTACATGAGTAGAATGTGTCCTTTTATTTAAAATGCATCTCTGGGTTATTTGTGGGGCATAGGAATTCGTTCATTTCCCCCCAAAAAATATAGTTTGGCCCACCACATGGTCTGAGGGACAGTAGACCAGCCCATGGCTGAAAAAGGTTGCTGACCCCTGAACTAGAGGGAAGCAGCACAGATGAGGAAGTGCTGTGCTCCCATTCATAAGAAAGACAGACTTGCAAGAGGTATAGTAAAGCAGGCAGAGATGAAGCACCACCACTTAACAGGGCCAATGTCATCACCTCCTGGGTGTTCTTTTCCAATCCCCTGCATGCCAAAGAAACAGTGTTCTCTCAGAGAGAAATCCATCAAATAAGCTAAGCAGAGGAAGAGGCAGGTAAAATTAACATGCATGGCTAAGGGTCCCACTGCTATTTTTATTTTTGAAAATTTCCAGTCTTCTTTTGACCAACCCAAATGTCAAAAAATAATGTGCAAGCTTTTAACTGCACCAGAACTATCCATCAGGCTGGATGTTAAACTAAGTGAGAGTTGGATGCATAAGGACAGAAAGATGATTTGGTTTTGAAGCCATAACATCTGAACTGGTCAAAATTTTATTCTTGGTTAAGAGTGAGTGGATGAATCTGTCAGTTCTAGTTTCTTGCAATTTATCATTTTTCCAGTTCAGTTTTCTACATTTTCCATCACTTTGCGGGGTTGTGGTTTTTTTAAGTGCTCATTAAAAATTGCCATTCTTATTAGTGCAAATTTCCCCCAAGTAGGCACATTTTTAAATGTGCAAACTTGCCTAATATACACAATTTTCCCCAATGTAATGTGTTTCTATATGTTATTTTCACTAATATATGCATTCTTATACATACTTTCTCCCTAATATACATGTACTGTACATGCTGCTTGGTTGGAGATCTGCACCACAAAAGTCAGAAATGTACAAATTTTGCATATTGCTTGAGATTTGTTCACATAAGAAATTTTAACTCAATTGAATTCCCTCATCCCCATGTTTGGTGTAAGGTCTTAGAAGGGCATGGCTATTGCGACAAGGTGGGGGCTGTTCAGAAGAGCACCTGAACTTGAGAATTTACCACTGCACCACCGAGATGAGGTATGATAACAGAAGGTTAAGAACAAGAACTTCACCATCTCTGTTCCATGAATCTTTTAGGGACAAGGATGTGTGAATAAAGATTTTTCATCATTGCTGATGAGATGGTTTGATATTCCTCAGTTCCTACAGCCACCTGCCTTATGTCTCTTATGTTAGCCTTATAAACAAATACTCTTCCTAACAATGACACATGCATATTCATACACAAGCAGTGGCATGTCTAGTTTGATCACTGAGCCTAGGAATAAAATTAAGCCGTTCCATCTGCAGGTGAGAGAGCAACAAGTATAGATATGTTGCTAATGGTTTTTCTCAACTCTTCTCAACTTTGGTTTTCTAAATGAATCTATTAGGGCCCCAGGCTGTCACTTTGTATGTTTCTAGGCAATCATTAAATGCATCAGCTTTACCAAGAGAGATGGTCACCTGCAGCCAGCTGTGTCGCTGCAGCATCTGTGATTTGGAATTAGCATGACATGCCAACATGGGCTGGAGAGAAAGCCTTCAGGCTGCAGCAAGTAAATATTGGCATTGAGCATTTCATTCAGATAGTAAACAATAGCAAAAAAAAAAAAAAAGGTCTATTCTCCCTTATTTAACATTCCCTGCATGCTGTGGTTAGCATATAATATGCACCACTTAGCTGATAGGAGCAAAGCTGAGGAGCAGTGGATGATGTTCTGCTTTATCACTAAACACCAGAGATGGAAACTGGGCTGTCTTCACCTGTCAGAAATTGAAACAGAAGCAGTAACATTCTAACCAGAAAAAATAATACAGTGGTACCTCAGGTTAAGTACTTAATTCGTTCCGGAGGTCCGTTCTTAACCTGAAACTGTTCTTAACCTGAAGCACCACTTTAGCTAATGGGGCCTCCTGCTGCCGCTGCGCCGCCGGAGCACAATTTCTGTTCTCATCCTGAAGCTAAGTTCTTAACCTGAAGCACTATTTCTGGGTTAGCGGAGTCTGTAACCTGAAGTGTATGTAACCTGAATCGTATGTAACGTGAAGTACCACTGTACTGTACAATAAAACCCTTGTCTGAATGCGGCCTCTGTGAGGGATTCCCAAACTATCTATTACAACTATCTAGTAAAATTCTCATGATTCTTTGAGGGAAGCCAAATGGCATAAAAGTGCTTTAAATGTATGTTGTGGGTATTGTCATAAACTGTCCCACTTCAGACGGTTCAGGGCTTGGAGACTATAAGACTGCATAGCAGGCCTCTTACAGTGGTTGTCACATGAACAGAAAGATTTAGGCTGTCTTCTGTTAGAGGGTTTTTTAAAAGTCTGGGTGGGTGCTGTAGTTATTGGTTTTCCAGGTTGGTAGGAGCTAATGACATTATTCGTCACTTCCATCTCCACTATTCTATAATTCTAAGTAGAAATAAAGCACAATTGGGAGAGGTCTAGGCCAAGGGTACACAAAAGGTGGTCTGTGTGCCACCAGTGGTCCACGAGCTTCATTAAGCTGATCTGCAGCATGTCTGTGGATTTGTAGTTGAAGATAGATGACAGCACATCCATTGCATTAAATATACATACTGATTTTTATTGCATTTTATTTGCTTATTTTCTAATATAGTGGTACCTCGTGTTAAGAACTTAATTTGTTCCAGAGGTCCGTTCTTAACCTGAAACTGTTCTTAACCTGAGGTACCACTTTAGCTAATGGTGCCGCCGCGCCGCCAACACGCAATTTCTGTTCTCATCCTGAAGCAAAGTTCTTAACCCGAGGTACTATTTCTGAGTTAGCAGAGTCTGTAACATGAAGCGTCTGTAACCCTAGGTACCACTGTATTGCATTTTACTGCATTACAATTTGAATTCTATGGAATTCAGATTGTAACACAGTAAATTAAATATATGATAAATAAAAGAAGCAATAAAAATTCAATTAAAAATCACATGACACCTAGCACAGCACATTACAATAGCTAGAACAGGTGGGGGGGGAATTAAGTGATCTGCCAAGACCCTCAGCTATTTTCAAGTGGTCTGGGGGAGAGTTTGAGAATCGTGGACTAAGCTTCTCTAAGAAGTGTATTTCCTGTTTACATGGAGTTCCAACATGAAGGAACATTCAAAACTGGTGTTTCATACCTACAGTCAAAGTAGCACAATCCATTCTACCACCTCATTCTGCTGCACAAGTAGACCAAAGCCTAAGTGATGTTCTGAGCAGTGAGTCATTGCACGTTTTTAAAAGAGAGACTTAAATCATAATCAGTATTTATCCCACTGGCAGGCTCCCAGTCTTTATAATCTAGTCCATAACTCTTCCTAATAAATCGCCACCTTCCTTGCTGGATAGACTGCCTGATACCAATGACACAGATCTGAATACGCAGCAGTGTTTATGAGAGAGAAAAAACTAATGAATGAAAAATTATGAGTGGAAATTGAATCTGCCAGATGAATTCTCAGATCTAGATTAACATATGCCGCATTTGCAAAAAAAAACTCCCATATATATATATATATATATATATATATATATATATCAGCCTGTATTAAATATTGAAATATTGAAATTGCTGAGGTTTCCACAATGTTTTTTTCCCTGTGTATTGTAAGTGTGCATATTTCATTAGCTGCAGAGACATCTCTCTAATAACTTTCTAACCCCTGAATTCCTGTCATTCAGGTTTAAATTTGAAGAGGCAGTGAAGAACTATAAAACAGGGGGAAATAAGCAAAGAAACACGAAAGGCAGTGTCTCTTCATTGCCTTTGTCAGTAAAAAGTTTCCTTTGAGATACATAATTGAAAAGCCTAACTCCAGCACAAAAATATTATGAGTTGCATATTTCCATGACAAAACCTTGATCTTACAAAGCACCAACACAATACAATAGATAATTGCAGGAGTATCCATCCCATTTTAATATTTTTGTCACCTTTCTATGTCAACACTACAGAAGGAAAGTAAGAGTGGGTGGGTGTTTTTTTATTTGCATCAAAACATATCAGCTATCTTTTTAGGAGGGGGGCAGGGGGTGGGGAACCGTTTATCAACAGCAACAGTGAGAATAATCAGGAACTTCAAGAGAAAAAGTTGCCCTGACTCAAGCCAACTGCAGTTTCTGGAGATATGATCCATGAAACTGTTGCATTGGTAAAGGTAAAGGTACCCCTGCCCGTCAGGGCCAGTCATGACCGACTCTAGGGTTGTGCGCCCATCTCACTTAAGAGGCCGGGGGCCAGCGCTGTCCGAAGACACTTCCGGGTCACGTGGCCAGCGTGACAAAGCTGCTCTGGCGAGCCAGCACCAGCGCAGCACACGGAAACGCCGTTTACCTTCCCGCTATAAAGCTATATATTTATCTACTTGCACTTAAGGGTGCTTTCGAACTGCTAGGTGGGCAGGAGCTGGGACCGAAAGACGGGAGCTCACCCTGCTGCGGGGATTCGAACCGCCGACCATGCGATCAGCAAGCCCTAGGCGCTGAGGTTTTACCCACAGCGCCACCCGCGTCCCTACGTTGCATTGGAGACCTTTGTATTTCTCAAGAAAAGCTAGAACATAGCCTTACGATCCTTGCTGTAAATTTAATCTCCATAGTTCTTGTCACATCTTGGCTCTACTGCTACTTTCAAGTGATCCCCAAAAAGATGAAAACAGCAGCACAATCCAAACCTAAGATCTTCTGGGGTAAGAGAGTTTGGATTCACTGGAGTAAGTCCCTCAGCCAGGGCTCAACCTTTAGAACTAAAGCCAGCAGAATTTAATTCCCCCCAAAAGGAGTGTTCTGGGCAAGGATGTGGCAGGGGCAAAGTGGGGCAAGGAGAAACTTATGCCTATTCTAAACTCTGTACAACTTGGTCATGTGGCTTAGGGTCCAATCCTCCAGTCTTTCCCAGAGGCTCCTGAATTGGATTTTGAATAGGGGTAACTTGTACCGGCTTCCTACAGATTGCTCTGTAGTGTTTCAAGGTCAATAATTCAAAATTTAGCAATCAGACACCTATTGTAGAATCTACAAATTCTTCAGTGGTCAGCCATAAATGAAGACCACAAATGACAAGTTAATGGTCAATGCAAGCTAATAGTTAAGTAATATGAGAATAGAATAGGAGGGACCCTCAAGGTCATTATTATTATTACAACCCTTGGCTGATTCAGGAAATATTTTGCCGCAGCACCTGAGAAGTGGCCATCCAGACTGTTTAAAAACCTCTAACCAAGGTAAGCCTACCCCCTATGGGGCAGTCTGTTCTAGTGATGAACAGTTCATAATGTCAGGAAGTTCTTCCTAATGTTTAGCCAAGGTCCCCTCTCTTATTATTGAAACTAGGGGTGAGCCATCCTGTTTTGCTACCTAGGGGTGGCGCCCCACCACTACCTTGCAGCAGTGGCTTCTGGCAAGATCTCACAAGATCTAGCCAAACTCTCGCAAGATCATAGCAAAAGAAGCTACAATCATGTGACCATGGCAAGGGCAAGTGGGGTTCCTGCACAGATGCTTCCTTGTGGGATTCTGCAGCCCAAGGCAGCTGTTTCAGCTTGCCTCATGTGCGGGCCAGCCCTGAATTGAACCCATTGGTTCAAACCATTTCTCACACAACTTTACAGAGAAGAGAAGAAATGTGTCACCAGCAAAATAACCTTAACTCTGATCCAGACGAACTGCATGGTTACATGCTCTTTTCACTGAACTGCATAATAAAAATTCCTCCTTAATTCAGAAACTAGAGCTTAGGAACATGAGTGTATGCATGGTTCTCCAGTGGTTATTGCAAGAAATATTCATCTGTTTCTGAAAGAACAGGAGGGGGGAATTTGTGGCCCTGCAGACAGTGCTGGACCACATCTCCCATGACCATTGGCCATGATGGCTGCAGGGCTGGGGGTAGGTAGATGGACTCTATCTGGGGGGCATCAAGTTCCCCATCCTTGTGAATATGAACCGGTGGCATCTGTCCCTTCATTTTCTTGGATCCCTAGCACCTTTGTGTATGCTGACTTTGATTGTTATGGACCGTGATTCATGATATACAAATCTGCTTTCCTTTTGCTCTGTTTTACTTTTGCGTTTATATGTCCACAGTTCCATCCCATTGTTTCCCAACAGTAATCTGTAATTTTATTTTAAAATAATAACAAACCTACCAGAATCATATTTTTTCATCTGTGTTCCCAGTAGTAACACCGGTGGAAAAATATGATTCTGTAATATTATTCTCTGTAATATTGCTTTCCAACCCCCCTTTATATGCAGACAGTGTGCATTGTTTGGGTCACTTCCCCATCCACATTCTCCCCTTCCCACTGCAAATCTACATATGTTCTCTGATTTTTTTTTAAAAAAATCATTTTCAAACTTTCATTTTGTTGTCATTTTCTCCATGAGAGATTTGGCTGTGATAGTGAACATGATTCAAATAAATGGAGTGGGGGTAGTGGTGGCAATAGGCAGCACCAGCAGTGACAGCTCTACAGTAGTGATTGTGACACAGCAGAACATTGCCATGCCTTAACAAAATGTGTTGCTTCTTATAATCTGAAAATTCTGTATAACTGCTAGATTATTCTTAACCTCTATCTTGCAGTGCACTGA